AAAATGATTTTCTTTCTTTTTTTTATGTTCAATGTCGTTCGATGTTTTTTATTATTCTATTCATTATTGTACTATGCATGCTGTATTTAAGCCTTTTAAAATAATTTTAACAAAACATCGAAGCGATTTTGTGGCTGTTCAACCCAAAATACTATGTAATTTTACACATATACTATTCAACTATCATGTGTCAGAAGTAAAGCTGACCAAAATTCGAATTTTAAAATATCATAGACATGTTTTCCTTTGTAGCTGATTTTTGTTTTGGAGCACCTAGCCCGTCAGGGCTTTTATCTCCTGTCTTGAGGGTGATGGAACATGATTGCTTAAAACTTGCCCATTTTAAAAATTTAAGAAAGAAAAATTGAAATAAATTTAAACTAGATAAGCTTATGAGAAAATTACAATTAATAAGGAAATAAGGTGAAAACAGAAACTTTACTTGGAAACAGAATTATTGGTGATCAGAGTTTAGAGTTTAACATGAGATTCCCTCGGCCAATAGGGGCTTAGGGAAGTTGTACTGACCGCCCAATGGGGTTGCAGCTTATCGTGACATGTTGTGTTTGTGCTTTCCTTTATAAATTCGTATTACATTTCTGAGATTACAAAAATTTATGCGTGTAAAATTATCAGTTTCGTTTTGTGATGTTGTTGTCGCAACTCGCGCTACAGATTCAAACAGTTAAGAAGAAAGATGTAATCAATTATTTAGTTTGGCAGAGTGGCAACAAAATTTTTGTATCGATTTATATATATTAAATTGATTGCTTTTTAACGTTATCGACTGATTTTATCTTAATGTTACGTGGTTTGGTTGTAAATAAAATGATGAAAGAAAAATTTTGAAATTTTTTGAACGACATGGGCTTTGGACAAAGAAAATATATTGCAAAATAAATCTGGTGACCCGAACGTGATGTTCGAACTCAATTGTATTTTATTAATATTCATAAATGGGTGTTTGTTTCAGTTATGTCATTTGGAACTATTTTATTTGTTTATTATTTAATGACCCTTCCAATTCTTCGAAGAATTTCGTCAATAATTTCAGAAATTCTTTTGGTCACCACTATGAGAAATTAATTTTATAATCAGATAATGAATCAAATTTTAATTACTCTGTTTACGCTCATTCTTATTTATCATGTACGCGGAACGAAACATTTTAATAATAATACTTTATCTCTATTCCAGCGAAGGATTTATACGTTGTTTCGCTAACATTTCTTTTTCATAATATCAATTAAAAATTCTCCTGAGAAATAATTTTCTAAAACGATTTTATAATCACAAGCATGTTTTTTTATAAAAATATATTCAAGATTTTTCCTTCCCAATTTTGACAGAAAAAAATTATTTCAAATGAAATAAAATTTTGCCTTCAATAAGAGAAAAAATAAAGCACCAAACAAAACATTGCGACGTATCAAAAGTTGAACGCCCTCTCTTAATAAACAAAACAAAACAGATCTCTCACCATTCAAAATTTAACTCCACCGCACGTTCCTATTTACATTTGGTTACTTTGAAATACTTACGTAACAGTTCCCCCCTCTTGGCAAAGCATTACGATGTGTAACAACCTCCTAACAATTCTCCAACTTTCTCTTCCCGTAAAATCTTCGCCGCCGCAGTCACACCCAAATACCGCCAACGTATCATCAGAAATTAAAAAAAAAAAGGCCAAAACCAAAACAACGCGCTATGTTTTTTATCTCACGCATCCTCCCAACCTACTCAGGAGTGAAACAAAACCGCACCTCCTCTCCCTCCTCATCTTCCTCCTGAAGGGTCTCTCCAACAACATCCTACCTTTTCACTACGAGAACCCGAAGGCAGTATCGAAAATAAAACGATAGCTATATATTTCCCTGGGCATCAATGAAAGAAAGAGAGCTATTTACGGGGCACAGAATAGGAAGGAGGAGAGGGGGGTTCCCGCAGACGATAGTAGGGGGGAGGTAGAAAAAGCTTCCATTCTTCCCCTTGAATGAGACGAAATGACCATAGGGCTCTTTTCCCACGCAGGAGGAGGAGGGCGACAAGTGCGAGAGAAGAGGGGGCTTATGGGTTTGTTTACATCGTCTAGGGATTGTCGGGAGTCATGGAAAGGATGTGTGTGACCTTAGAAGGTTTCGTTTTTTGATTGCTGTCTCGTTGGTGTAAGGCTTCCGTAATATTGGAAATGTGCGAGTATTTTTTTTTTTTTTTACCGGGAAAGTTAAAGAGCTGTAAATGATTGGGAGTGAAATAAAAGTTGTTGTTTTATTGGACTCGCTAAAGAGAGAGCTTATTTTTTTTTGGATGAATCTCCACTGTAACGGATCTTTGCTTGTGTTTGAATAAACAAATAAAATGTATTTTCCTCAGTAGTAAATAATCGCTAAAAAAATTCTGGAGATAAAACTTACTTTTTTTTAATGAGTGTGTAAAATACTTACAATAGAACTTGTACACAGGAATTGTTCATGGGGGGTCCAGGGTCAAAAGTCCACATGTTACCAAGCATATTCTTTTGATTTTGTCGACTTTCGGGGGGGGGGAGTAAAAAAACTAATTATTGAATAAATAATTAGCATTAATTAATAAAATTAATTATTAATAACAAATACTTAACTATATTTTACGTACTATATACAATGGAATATAATCAACCGAAGAAAAATCAAGGGCCTGGACCCGAAGACCCCCCCCCCCTTGTGTGCGCCAATGAGGACAGAAGATTAAAAATTGAGGAAAAATGGACAAGTGGAATAAAGAAACTCGAAAACACATAATTATTTTTTTCTTACCTTAAAAGCAGAAAGCTTGGATACTTAAAAATGTTTTTTTTAAGGTCTTTCGGACTACGTTTGGAACTGTGATTTTTGTAAAAGTACATAAATGAATATTTTTTTTTGTATTTAATGTCACTTGAATTTGGATATAAATATAAAAACTATCGTAAGAATATTATTGCAATAAAAATGATCTTTGTGCAATTTTTTTGGAAAAAATGAAGATTAACATATTTTAAAAATATTCTCATTTATGAAAAATGCTTCTATAATAATATTTTCCCTATATACAGTTAAGACTTGTATCAAGCCTAAACTGGAATTTTTGAAATATATAATTTAGGAGTGGATTTATTCATAGTTTAATATTTCAGAGTAGAGAAATTTAAAAAAAAAAAACACCGGTTATTATTTCGATTGATCGTAATTCGGAAAATAATGATAATTCTTTGATTAATGATATCTCACCCCTCAGATCGGAAGGAACATTAGCCATGGTCAATATAACTTTAATTTATTCTTCGATACGAACAACAAGACAATTTCTATCAACCGAAGTTAAGAGATGCACCCAAATACAAAAAAATATGGAAAACAATAGCGAGACAGACGAGATACGAGAAAACTTTAAATAAACAGATTACATACGTCTAGGAAGTACCTTCTAATTCTTAGCGACCTAATCTAATTTGATTCCTAATTGACAAATCGTCAACTTTAATATTACAATAATCCGCTACGAAGTAACCACGCCTCACTTCACGTTTAATCAATCACTGCTAGCCGCAGCAGTCTAATTTCTCTTTTTGATACTCGAAAGTTTAATTTTTATATACAAATCTTAATTTACATACTCACATCTTCTTCGAAGGAAGGCTTTCAATAAATTAAATTTTAAAGACCCATATTTTTCCCCAAGAGGATTGTTAGTGTGAAAAATCCGAATAGACCCGTGAAACCATATACTTCAAAAAATTATTCAAGTGACAAAATTCCTTATAAAGCAAAATTCCTTATCGGTCTATGAGTCCTAGCTATATATAAGCAAAATATTATTTCTCTGAAAACCTTTTTCATAAAGGGAAAATGTTTTAAGAATGTGCCATTCTTTACTTTTTGGCAAAAATTTGTAGTTAAATAATTTTTTTCTTGTAATTATATTCTCAAAACAATTTTATATGTATGTTCTAATTCAACTGAAACTAAATATCAGAAAACTTGTTCATTTATAAACTTTTCAAAATCATGATTCCGGATGTAGTCAGTCAGGATGCTAAGTCTAACAGTTTTCTCAACGAAAAAAAAAAAAAAATTATGGCCATTCGAAAAGTAAACTATACACATTCTGTTTTTTTTTAAAGTTTATCGGTAGTTTTTTTTCCTTCTTAAAATAGCGTTGTGTATTTGCGTGAAATTGTAACTTACCTTTTTTCAAGCAATGATGTAGCGGAACCAAAAGAAGGATATTATAAGAGTCTGGATACTCTTTTTTTCTTCAAAAAAGATTTCCAGAAATATTTGCTTACGTTTTAATAATCATCTCTAGCATACAATAAACAAGAGTATCATTTGCTAAATAAATTGCTCACATTTTTAATATTATTTATAACGTTTTACATTTAAAATTAAAGTTAAAACTCTTTCAAATTCCTTCATGTATTTCTATTTTTCATAAATCTTTCAATAATGTAATAATCTATATATATTAAAAAACTCCCATATTTTAATTACTTCTAATACTAACTATATTTTCTGGCTTTTTACCTTAGAAACTATTCTTGAAAATAGGCCGCGCACAAATGCATAGATTGTCCTACACTTTTTGGTTATCTCATGCGCTCCCACATAAATGATGATATTTATGAGAATGAAGAATCAGAGATGACAGCGATGTGGATTTTACTAGTTTGTGAAGGATCCATACACCATTAAAACGCCTATTATTCAATTCCTACTCTCTCTCTCTCTCTATTAGCTCTCACTCTCCTTTATATATATATATATATATATCTTGTTCAAATTTTAAATCGTTAATAAAATACTTCCTTTCAACCATTCAAGTTCAAATACATTTTTTTAACTTGTAGTGGAGGATACTCGATGTTAATACAGTTTTTTCAAATGTCAATTCATTAATTAAATTAAAAATGAATAGTAACACACACACACACACAAAAGTCCAACAGCATATGCAAAGAGGAAAATCAAATCGTTCGTTGTGTTCCTGTAGCGCAGCGGATAGCGCGTTGGACTTCTAAATTTCAAAAATCGTGGTTTCGAATCCCATCTGGGATGGCTTAATTTCTGAGAATGTGATTTCTTTTTTTTTTATTAGAATAATTAAATTTATTAATGAATAAACAGTAACAAACAAAAAAATAGTTCAACACCATATATAGAAAGTAAAATGGAAAATTGTAAGGAAAATAGCTTTCTATTTTGTCACTTAATAGTGTGATCATATGTATATACATAATTTACATTAATTGTAACTAAAATAAAAATTTTCTTTGTTGACCTAAGTAGGAATTGGCTTAAATTTTTTTATATCGTTTGTTTTTAATAATTTTTTTATAACTTTTTGCTTAAAATTTTAAAATTTGCAATAAATTTTGATGGGTGTCTTATAACCAAAGAGCATCTTATACATCAGAAATAAGAATATCTAACCATGCATATGAACGATTTAACTATTATAATAAACTTAGTTTTTATACATGTAGTTATAACGAGATTAAATAATATATATAATTAATAATTAAATATAAAAATATAATACATGCTTATCATACTAATTAGCATTCTAAATTTAGTTTGCCTGCAACTAAGTCCTTAAAAAAAGATCAATGAGATCGAACTCAGCAACTTTCATTGCTCTTCACAGCTCAGAGGAAATCCTCATTTGTTACGTCATCCGAAACCTTCATACAAGTGGTTGTTTTAATTAACTTCGCTTTCGAACACTTACACATAAAAGCTATTGGCAAAGGTTTCTGTAATTACTATTACATGGACGACACCAAATAAATAACAAGAGGATAATACTTGAAAAATTAGAATCAAATGAATAAAATTAATGTGGATTTCAAGTAATCAAATCGTATATGATTGAATAAAGTAAATTAAATAAGTAAACTAATTCTTCTTTTTCAATGGCTCGACAATCCAGGGAGGGCCCTGGTTTTCTCTATGCATCTCTACTTTTTGCAACTGTTTTCCAGATATTTGGACCTTCAAAATAAGTAAACTAATTAGTAATTAGATATTTGTAGCTTTGTTTTTGAAATATATTAAAATTTTGGATTGGTGAACTCCAGTGGGTAACAGAGAATATTAGGGCTCCATTGTAAATTAAGGTTTTGGGTCCCAACCCGGATTCTCTAAAGGGAATGCAATCCTGCCCCCCCCCCTCCGCGATAAGAGTGTGTGTGCGTTGCGCCACTGAAGAACTCAACACCAATTCATCTCTCTTTGTGTGGTGGCCGCGGTAGCCAAGTGGTCAAGGCATCGGATCATGGCTAGCGTGTCAGGAATTCGATCCCAGTACCACTGAAAACCCGTCGTGTAGAGGAGCGATGCACGTTCAATCTGTCGAGAGCTCAAACGTCCTCCCGTTGGTGTGGTGTGGTTGTTAGGAGAGGGGAGTGCCAGCTCAGGTGTCGTCCGCTTCACTTGACCATGGTTCAAAATTACGCAGACCGTCGCCAAAAGACATCGAGTAGCTGAACAGTGCGACGTTAATATTCACTCACTCTCTTTGTGTGTGCGTGTGGAGGGGATTGTCATAATGCATTTTCTAAGCTTAATACCTTCTTTAGGGCTATCAAGAAGCTATATATTTAAAAACAAGGTACTCTCTTGACTAGCATGCACACTTGGCCAGATAAATCGTATTATTAATTAGTACAAAAATTTATTCTCAAAATAAGCATAAAAATCTAAGAGAAACATTATCACGAATATATATATACTGTGCAATTATATTTTTTAAAAAATAAGCAAATTGTAGGACTAACATTTTTATGAGAAATGAATTCATGAATTTAAGATATTGCAATTTTTTTTCACTAAATTTTTTTTAAAGAAAATTTTTTTCTTCTGTAAATTATTCCAGGTGAAAATTACCCTATACATTTAAGAACCAAAAAAAAAAAAAAAAAAAAAAATGGTACAATAATTTAATTTTTGACTAAATCGAAGAAAATCAGAAATGCGATGGGGAATGGATTTCACGAGTTTCTGGAACTCTGCTGAAAGTGGCGCACTGTACTTTTAATAACGCTTTTCCACAATTCGGGTTGTCATCCGATTTCTCTGTTCGAAAGGGAGATCCCATTCTCATTGCATTATACTACTTTCAGATCTGGGGATTTGATTAAAAACGGGAAAACTCCAAATTCAGACGAAAGCCCCAGTTATCATAACGAAGAGTCTCACTTGTATGAGGTCCATGTTTTGTTGGGACATTTCCAGTCTATCAACACGAATGCAGAATGTACGTCGTTTGAATAGACAATCGCAAACTACAAGTTAGTCTTACAACTGTTTTTGTTGACTTACCAGAAATCCCAGTGATTTCCAACAAAGAAAGCTCCATATAATTACGGATTACCTACCAGCCGGTATACTTTCCAGTTGTCAGGTAAGATCCATTGCATGATTTGGGGTTTGTACCACAAAGGTATCCACTCCCTCCCATCTTCCAGATACAATCCGTCAGAACACACTACTTGTTTCCAGTCATCAAGTATCAGGTATCAGGGTTGTCGTGACAAAGCGTGACATATAGCTGTGTACCGTGCTATCATCAAGGGATAATAGTTGATGGTTAATTCTTTCAAGTCGTATTCTGCAGAGTACGTTACACAGCTCTGTCACTGATGCTTGTTGATGCTCTGTCTAACCTGTGTGACATTCTGTCTCCAAGAATGTTGCACACTCATCAAGCGATTTTTCCAACCGAAAATGGTCACAAATTAAGGCATATTTAGTGTTCTATTACTATTACATTGGTGTTATACATTTAAGGTTTTGTGAAACTCTTGTAATCGCGTTACACCTTTGCCAATAGTCGTCTGCGAAAATTTTAACTTCACTTAAGTCTTTGAAATCCTTTTGTCAATTTGCCCATCTCGCGAGCTCCAACTATGACACCTCATTAGAAATCACTTAAAGGGTTTATTATTCGTCCCACCATCGTAAGTCAATGTTTATCACATTATTATTCTATCTTTTGTTAACACTGGCGGATGCACATAAGCAATGTTACACATACCTGACATTACAAAGTATTTTCCATCAACTCCTACGTACCACTTTTTTAGCACGCAATGTACCTAACTGACCTAAATTAGTATGAATAAATATAAACACAAGAATTCCATTCACTTCTTATTCGAGGAAGGCATGCAAAAGAATCTTTGATTGATTAATTAACATCGCAATCATCTAAAGCAGGGGTACTCAATTTTTTTTTCCTGCGGTGCCGCATACATATGTCAGGTATTTCACTCGGGCCATAATATGAGGATAAAGGCTTTAAGGCCAAGATAACGTTGGAAATTTAAAATGTGGAAAATTGATCAAAATATTATAACTCCTGTTTTGCTTTTTTTAATTAGTATTTCTTATTTTTGTCACTAACACTAAATTAGAAGCGCACACACATTTAAGAAACGTTCCTTCACAATTTTTGTATCAGTAAACTGTGTGTTTCGTATGATTACCAATAATATAACAAACTTCATAGGATGTATTTGTTACCACTGTGACATTACCACTGACAAAAACACTTAGTTGCCGTTGCAAAGATTATTCAAGAAAGCCTATTTATCACCTCTTGAAAGAGATCATCGAGGAAAAGTGTCATTGAATGATTCCTGTTTACTGGTATTTTTTAAATACAGCACTTTAGTGACAAATCAAACAATTACTGATCCATGTTTTTTATTCACTACAAATTAGTCAAACTCCCAATCGTCTTGAAATGATATATTTTCTTCGAACAATTTTCGCTTGCAAGATATGAAAGGTTGTTAAAAATTAGTTCCACTCATAAAATTGTCGCTATTCTACAGTTGTCTGTTATCACTAGCCGTAACCATTACAAATAGAAAAAGAATATTAATTCGCAATCGGATGACATCGACAACAAAAAGCAAAATTGATACATTTGATTTCTTTACAAAAAATTTCCCATCAAAATTTTAATACTTTATTCTAAGATAAGTGAATTTCTCAGAGCAATAGGCCATGCCCGGACCACTTAAAAAGGCTCAGTGGGCAGCAGATTGAGTATCGCTGATCTAAAGCAACTCAAAGGAACCTCAGCCAAGAACCTTGGTCAAATGCAGAGGAAGATATTTGAGCTCTTGGAAGCTTGCACACACGACACTAACGTATATTAAAATCCTAGAGCAGAGAATCCAGTTTTTTTTTTAGTCCGTTATGAATTAAAGGAAAGTCAGAAAAAAGTAGCGAATATATAAAACTAATAATGAAATATTTTTCGTTAATGTAGAGTAGTTACAAAAAATATGTGGCTGTGGTAGCCAAGAGATCATGGTGGCGATTTAGTGTGTGGCCGGCGTTGCTTCTAATAAATTCTGACGCCCCTGAAGACTCTTCGCGTAGCGTGCGCAGTGGCGTACACAAAGGTGGGCTTTGGGGGTTTAAGCCCCTCCCATACACTAAGAAATTTTTAATTTTTAGCGTAAAGGCTATACCTTGCCATTTTCATCTACGTATTTTTTTAAAAAGTAAGACCCTCGATAAAAGTAATCAGTGTACGCCACTGAAAGTGTGTATTAAATCTGTATAGGCGCAAAGTCATTACTTTGGGCAGTGGTATTCAAACTGTGTTCCACTGAAACCTGAGATTCCCCAAGGCATACCCAGGGGTTCCACGAGTCACAATAAAAAAATCGAGAAGAGACAAAAATGTATACAAACTGAATTCACGTTCTTTATGAAGTTGTGAATATTCTATTGCTTACAATCTCGGGTTCCACGAGATAATTTTATACTCACTAGTTAGCCCAATGTCTAGTAAAACTAAATAGTTTTCTAATGGATAATACACTTTTTTGCATTTGTGGAAAAGACACCTGTAACGAAGGAGAGGAAACAACTTATCAACAGATTCGATGTTAAAATCTAAATTTAAGCAAGAACAGCTTTTTAATTTTAGGTTGCAATTCATGCAAAATACATGGGATTTCTCACACAGCTATAAACATTTTAATGCCACTCAGAGCACTGTGTTTAAATGAAATATATTTCTTGAAGTAAGTGGC